ACCAAGCCAAGGGTTGAGATCCCCTTACCGGTCATCTTTTAAAAAAAAATAAATAAATAAATAAATTAATTAATTACCGGTCATCCTTTTAAAAAAAATAAATAAATAAAAATAAATAAATTAAAAGCTATTTTTATTTAATTTTTTTTGGTGGCTGGCTTGTACAGGGATCCGAACCCTTGACATTGGTGTTATTAGGTCACACTCTAACTGAGCTAACTGGCTAGCCCCAAAAATAATTTTTTAAAAAACAGAAAAATGTGAGAACTAGTAAAAAGGAATTTATAGACTTTGTTTCTCTTATTCTGATGAATGTTATTGTTTTGTGAGACAGTACAAACTAGAGGAAAAAACACACACATAGTTTCTAATATTGACTCAAGAATTATGGGGCAGTGTGTGCCTCTGTGTGTGTATGAGGCAAAGAGAGAGATAAAGACAGACACAGAGAAAGAGAAGGAAAAAGAGAGAGATCTGTGAACTATCTCATCGGGTTGCTGTGATTATTCAATGAAATACTACTGTACAAAAAGGTCTCCAGCACTGCCGGAAAGCAGGCAAGTACTCAACACAGTTTACTCATATTTCCTTTTCCCTATCCCACTCCAAGGTTTGAAATCTGTTTTATTCCAACAAATGAAAGTAATGAAAAAGTATTAGACAGACAATGTCAGATCTGTGTTTGATCTGACAATTTGATCCTGAAAATACAGTGATCGAACATAATTATCTGCTTTTTGCAGTTGTTAATAACAAGTTTAGATTGAATACTTCATTTGCACTAACTCTAGGCAAAATGTATAAGCCAAATATTTGCATCTGATTCACTATGGTCTGACCTCTTGGGGGTATGATTTAAAGATGGGCTGAAAAGAGCCAAAGAAGACAGCAGACTATTCCAATTTTACAATCCACATAGCACTTTATGTGTTACACTGCTCCTTCACATCCATTTGATCTTTAACCCCAATCTTGTGGTACAGTCTTGGATGGTATCAACATCATTAAATGTGTAAGAAGGAAATCCAGACCCAAAGAGGTGAAGTGACTTGCCCAAGGTCACACCGAGTAAAGCCAGGTCTTATTCCCAGTTGGTTTATATTCTTTTTTTTTTTTTTTTTAAAGATGACCGGTAAGGGGATCTTAACCCTTGACTTGGTGTTGTCAGCACCA